CATCACACTTATATGCTAAATGAAATCCCTCAAGTGGCTCTATATCTTGTTTAGTAACAGCCAAAAGTTCTTAACAATGGCCTGTGAGGCCCTATGTGATCAGTGTACATGATTCAGCATCATCTGTATCATGTATTTTTCTCCAAGTTTATCTCTTACTTTTATCCTAATTCACTGAACTCTAGTTCTATTAATCTTTTTTAAGAGGCTTCACGCAGTAACATCTCCTACCTTGGGGCCTTTGCTATTATCTCTGCCTAGAACATTTTCCCATATTCCCACAAGACTTGGGTCACTTTGCTCTTTTAGGTCTCTGAAAATGCCATCTTCCTGAGGAAGTCTTCTCTGATCATCTTCTATAAAATAACAACAGGCTTAGTCTTTTCCATGGCACTTATTACACTGACATATTTATGCATGTATTACCTGCCTCTCCTAGTTCCAACATAAGCTTTGTAAGGGCTAGGGCTGTTTTTATATACTGCTCAGTTCATGGTACTAGAGACAGTGGCATAGAATTAAGCATTTAAATTTGGTCAAATTGTGCTTTCATCATTTGTAAAACTTTCTTGTACTGCCTATGAGAAAAAAGTAAAATAGTGACTTAAGGCTCCTAAAAATGAGTATTTGCATAATTCTCATGGATTTGGAATGAAGCTTCAGCTTCCCAACAAGTAGTTTACTTTAGTTGTATAGTTCACTTCTTTAGTTCACTCCAGTCCAGTAGGATTTAAAATAAAGAGGTGGAGAATATAGTCAATGCAAGTTATTCTACTGTTATCAAGGACTTCACTGTCCACACAAAATTTCTTCCTTCCCATCTCATTTAAAAGTTTCCCTTTCAAAAATGTCATGAACCACTAGAAAAAAACTGAATTCTAGCATTGAAATGAGCCTATATTAAATCTCTTTAAGTTGCAGATGAAAATAAGAATGGGAGCCAAGAATGGTAGAGCATTCAGAGAGGCTGAGGCAGGAGGGATAGACCAAACTGGACAATATACTGAGTTTAAGGCCAGCCCCAACTACATAGAAAACCTCTCAATCAGATTTGAATCTTATAAAATTTTTTATTTCAGTGTGAAAGAATGCAGGCAATGGGATAATGATTGAAATACACCTCTACATGAAATTGCTATTAATTTCTCACTGGCCTAAATCCTTATAATTTCTTTAGGCACATCTTTGAATTTTGTGTGCTTTGATATACAAGATAGGTTCACTTCTTGTGGCCATTGAGTAATGAAAATTATGTTTACTGGCTACATTCCTTTAAAACTAAAGGCATCTAGATTCTTATGTTGTCTAGTATACTTTGAACTCATCCTTCAAGATGGTCAATTATGGTATAGGGGAAGGATATAACCTAGAAAAATGAAATGCAATGGTACCAATACTCCATAGACTTTTTAAAATTACTCACAATCACTAGACAAGATGCCCATTTACTGCCAATTTGTCCTTTCACTGCTGTCCTATCTGATACAGATTTCCTCCAAAACTGAAATGGATTCACACAAATAGATATTACATGTGCACTCCCACTATCAAAATAGAGAAAGTAGTTCCACTATCAAGATTACAGGAAGCAGTTAAGGGGACGTTGAGAAAAGCACAGTCCCATATACAGTAATAAACATCTAATAATTTCCCATTCATTTATGAATTATTTTCATAAGATTAGCATTAAAAATATAACCAAATACATATATAACCTCAAACACCGAACAAAATTTAGTCTTTGCTTATTTTCAGATGATGTCTCAAGAATGACAAAGGGTGGGAGGTAATCCCCCTATACCCATTTTTTCAACCATCCCATCCATAGCTCTTCATTTTTTTTTTCTATAATTTTATTGAGAAACAAATAGCAATGAGAGAGTTTCAAATCAAGTTAGCAGGACAGTTTCAATAATACACTGCATATTGTCTTAGTGGTTATTCATTGTACAAGATGCAGGCATGATATTCTGCTTTCAAATACTATTAGAACAAATCTTTCTATTCACTAAATTAAGAGAATGTAGCTGTATATCTGTCCTATTTTGAATATACAGATACAAAATGGTCGTTCATTTGTATTCCCTTTTTTGTTTAGTTTTGTCATTTAAATATTATAGGTGTGTGAATTCAGCAAAATATTCCAAAATAGTCCAGTAGTCCATAATAGTGGGTTTTCTGTAAGACTGGCAATGCCAGAAGTTGTTGAGTTGACCCTTTTACAGCTCAGCATTATTAATATGGCTTTATTTTTTGTACTTTATTTTTATACTTTTTTGCTGGATGATTAAGACCAAGATAAAGCAAGACCTATGTAACAAGAAATGCAGCTTTTGTATCTGATAAGGTGAGTCAAATCCCCTCCGGACTTATCCTGAAACCCTGTACCACAGTTTGTAGATCCTTTGTCAGTGTCAGCCATGTGGATGAGTCACAGCCATTTCTTGACCAATTTGCTTCTGGGAAAGCCTGAATGTTTTCTCTCCATGTGACTCTCTTTAAGTACACTCTACATCATCGATCACTTTCCTCTGTGGCCCCATAAGCTCCATCAGAAAATTTGCGACACAACTGACTTACATGATGTTATATAGTATAGGTTCTCCTATGTCCTGAGTCTTCACTGACCTTGAAAGGCTAGGGTAGGCTATTCTTGCAGCCCTCCTTTTTCTCTAATTTTTGTTTTGCAAACTTAGGTTGTTAACCCTTCAGAAGAGAAGCTTATTGTTATTACCCTACAACCTAGACTGTTGAGCTTAACCTTACTGTCTACAAACATCTTAGGCATAACATGGAACAGATATTTTTCATCAAGTATTGATATGTTGAACTTTAAGTCCCTACTGAATATGAAGAAAAAAATTAAAATCTAAACTATATAAAAAATAGGATTAAACAATTACATACTTTTACACAGAATCTAATCATATACAGCATTGTAGCAGGATAAAAGTTCAGAAGTATTTTTTTTGTTTTTTGTTTTTGCTTTTTTCTTTGGCTGGCTCAGGATGCCTTTAGGGTAGGTCTGGTAAGGATTGAGGATCTGGGGATTGAACCACAGCATCCTGATTGCTTTGTTTAAGCAGTCACTTAAACAACTGAGCTAAAGGGCAGGCTCCCTCATTTCTTGAACTGTGGGAGGCTCAATAACTCCAGGCCTCCAATCCTATAGCAAGTGGGTTTCCAGGTTCCTGTGAAACTGCCACATCATGACTCTGCGCCACGTATCCCTTAATGGTCACCTGAGTGCCTCTGACCTATAAAATTCTCTTGGTGCATCAGCATCATTAGTGACGCTGACTTCCTCTTCCCCTACCTCTGCTGAGCTAAGCTCCTAATTCTTCCTACCCCGCCTACTTCCCATAAGTCTCCTGCTATGCCCCGGAGGTGGGACTTCTGTCATAGCTCGGTTGCCTAGTTACTTGCGCCTTTTACCTGCCAAAGTCATTTCCCTATATTTCCACTATATATACCCAGTTTCCTTTGAATAAATGAGACTTGATCAGAGTCCTGTCTTGTCTTCATTTCTCGCGTCTCCTGTCCTTTGTCCCCTCAATTCCCCGCTCCTCTCCCAGGTGACCTTCGTTGACTGACCCACTGGCTCGAGACATTGAACTACCTTCGTTTTCCAAAGAGGTAAATGTGAGTCACTCCAAAAGACTTTTTGGGAAGACAGGCTTGAATTTGTGGGTCTTCCCCAGTTGATTCAAGATGAACTGGGTTGTACTGATGAACTGCTTAACACAGTTCACAAAACAGGCCTCAGCCCACATGTTCAACTTTGGCCCAGGCTTGTCCGTGTACTCTTCCCAGCAGAACAAGGTCATCTGGTGCACCAGCTGCTGGAAGCACTGCTTCTGAGTCTCCACCTTGATGAAACACTGCAACTGTGGGTTCACTATACCCATACCTGCCGCAGAGGACAAGGAAGAGAAATCCATCTCAGCTCAACCACACCAAGATGGACTCAGCACCTTGCTGACCTTCATGAGTCTTGGCAATCAAACTAGAACCACAACCCCCTGCCTCGGGGTCCATCCTGTGAGTGTATCGAGTCATCATGAGGCTTGCACAGAGCCTGTCCCATAGCAGGTCCTCCCCGGCTGCCGGGCTAGTGCTGTGTTCAGCCCAGGGCTGCTGGCTCCTAACAGGCTGGCCACAACCCAGCTGCAGCACCAATATAATTTTAATATAAAGACACTATATTTGTTTCTTTTTATTTAAAATGTTGGTGTGTAATAGATTAAAGTAATATATTGTTCCACCACCTTTTCCAGAAACTTTTGTTCATTTTTACAAAAAGCAGCAAGAAACAGTTAGATGCTATTTTGATATATAAAGTATTATAAAAGAAACCAAAATGTAACTAGTCTTACCTGTTTATGAAAAAACATGACTCTAGTATTTTTTGTAGCCCTAAATGGCCAATGCTTAAATTAGAAATCTAAGAAATGTGATATACATTCTTTGGTTGTATACTGTTAGAAAGCTTTCTGTTACTGTAACAGAACACCTAAGAAAAAGAATGAATAGTAGAAAGGTTTATTCTGCATCATGGTTTCAGAGATTCTCAAGATGAACCAGAATACCATGGCAGTGGGAACATGGGGGGCATTGGGGCAAGTCAAAAAGCAGAGAACCACTATCTGGGTATAAGATACATCCCTCAAAAGCATGCTAAGGATCCATTCCTTTCAACTAGGCCCTGCTTCCTAAATTTCCATCATCTCCTAATATCCATCAACTATGACTCCACCAACAAGTTAATGCACTGATGAGATCAGGGTCCTCATTATTCAATTCCCAAAGCCACCACTGCATCAGAATGAAGCCTTCAACACATGAGCCTCTGGGGGCCATTCCAGATTTGAGCCACAATGGCTATGACGAAAAGAACTCAGGACTAAAGCAAAAGCACATGCAAAAATACTGCTGTAGATTTATAAAATATTTTTGAAATTAAGATATTGTACTATTGAGCACTGCTTATGCAAACAGGGTGATCATCAGGAATGTAGGTTTATTTCATTAAAAAACAAAACAGATTCATCCCCTAGACAGTACTGTATCCTTTAAAGCAGCAGTAATCACAAGGCACATCTCTACAAAATACCTTAAGCAAAATAGAAAGTAAACATTAAAAAAACGTGTCATTTAAAAAGATGTAGAAGACCATTTGTTAATATGAACAGATTATAAAAGTGACATTAGTTTTTACAATTTGATTCCTTTTAAATAAGATAAAATTAATATTTATGTACTATTTTTTGGACAAATCACAAACCTTTGTAACACTTAACTTTGTCTGCTAAAGAAAAAACAGCTACACTATAGCTTAAACATTTATTTTTAAAGCTTTCATATCACTTTTAGATATGTGGCACTCATAAACAGAAAGCTGTAGTTTTTTTCTTCCTAGTAAACACATTATATTAAAAAATATTTGAAACATTTAAAAATATCTAGGACATGATTATATTTTTGGATCAACACAATAACGCTCTTCATATAATAAATAAAAAGTTAACACCTAATAAATGTTAAGGTCAATATTTGTATTAAAATAAGAACAGTGATTGATTTGAATTATTGCTCACTTAAGGGAAATAGAACAAATACTCTGGTTAGGGATGCTCAAATTAGAAATGGTATCATAACAGTATCCACTGTATATAAAATTCTGGGGTACAAATATAACGAAATTTATAATTACATAAAAGTGCTCCTTTGCATATCAGCCACCTTAAATAATGCAGAATGGAAGATGTGGTGGAATTACCACTTTAGTAGTAAACTGTTATCACAAAGTGCTCTTCTTAGCATTAATTACTACAGAGCCATTTTTATGACATATTAAGTTATGCTTACCGAATCATTACCACAGAAGAGAAATTAAAGCTTCAGTGTCAACAAAAATAACATAAAGCAGTACTATGATAAAACATTTAAACAATACCAGATAGAGGAAATTATACACTTTGGTAAGTGGTGTCATTAGTCTTCTTTAAACATCAATTCCTAGGTATGTAAATGTTTCCTTGTAAAATAATGAACATCCACTCTTTTCTCACTCACTCATTTGTTCTATTTCCACACTGCTTGGTAACAATCCCACTAGACATCACTGAGTTCTCCTGATTTATCTGAGGAGTCCTGTCTGCATGTCCATTGTGGGGGCCACTGTAGCCTACAGCAGGACAGCCTGTGCTACCTCCTTGATGGTAGATGCAGCTCTCTTCAGCTCTTCCTCTGTCTGTTCCACGGTGACCACAACTCTGATGCTGAAATAAAGAAAGACATATAAAAATCGAATGAGAGGCTATGCCAGAAGTCAACCATCTTTAGATGGCCAGGGAGTGAAATTTAGTCACTGCCACTTGTTTACCTAAGTAATACTCTGTTGGTACTTAACTCATTCACTACCTCTTGTCTACAACTACAGTGGTGTTTCACTATCATGGTAGAGGTGAACAGCTGTGACAAGGACTGCATGATCTGCAAGCCTAATGTACTTACTGTCTGGCCACTGGGAAAAGTGGCTAGTATATGGCTTATACTCTGGTATGTATGTATTCACAGTGATCCAGAAACTGAATAATCAACTGCCAAAAGTAACACCAGGCACAAAAGCAGGAACCTAACATTTCTCAAACTGATGGGTGGTTGTTCACATTCATAATTAAAAAGCAATGTAGATGTCCTACAATATTTTGAGACAAGGTAGACATTTTTAAGATTTTAGGAACTTAAAGGAATGAATTTGCCAGGTACAGATAGCTCAGCCTGGGTAACTAAGTGAGATCCTGTCTCCAAAACAAAAAAGGGCTGGAGATACTGCTTAATGAAAAGGCCTGGGATATAATCTAAAGCATTTTCAACATCATTTTCTTTCACAAATAAACATCTGCTTCAGCTAGTGAACATTTATTTACCTAATATATTTGTGGGTGAAGCAACAAAAATAATGAGCAAGCATAGCTCCTGTCCTGAACACATTTTCACCAAATATATACAGGATCAGCTTTCACGGTAAATGTGGTAAAAAGTGTGAGGAGCAGAGCTTTGAGCTGCTGCCTGAATGGAACCCCAGACCGAGCCTGGGCTTCAGGAGCTGCAGAGCATTCACTCTTCAGGATTCTCCTGTGTCTCCCTAGCCTGCCTACAGCTTTTGGTCTGCGCTTAAAGATGTATCTGGAAGTCACCATGACACTGAAAACACTGAGCAAAGCTCATACCACACATTTGCTGAAGGGCTACAAGGCCTACCACTGCCTGGCAAAGGCAAACACATTCCTGGATCCATGATGGGCTCTTATTCCAACAAAGCCACCTAACGTTGACAGTGCATTTAACACCCCTATTCTACTAATAAACTCAAAGCTAACTAAGTCTAGTCTCTGGCTCAGATCATTTATGTTAGCATAGAGTTGGAAAAAAGCATCTCACACAAAGCCTATTTTATAAAAAAGTGTTATAAAAAAGGTTTAACTTACTACCATCCTGAAAGTGCAAAACAACGTTTTGTGGATAAACTTTTACACCATGGCAAATGCACAATTCTAGGTGGCACTGTTCAAAGCTGGGATGTCTGAGCTCATTTCTTCAGAGACAAGGCATCATTTGATCTCAAAAACTTTAGTGATGTCTGAGGACAGAGTTGACTGTGCCTCTTTCTGCAATCTGACTCAGGGCCATGGCCTGAGTTTCTCTTTCCTCACCTTTCACTGTGAATGTGTGGACTATGGCTGTGGCCCCTCCCCACCTTCAATTTGCTTTCCCAAGGTGTTGTGGTATTGGCTGGGTGAAGTATAAGTGCGCTCTGAGACTGTGTCCACTTCTGGCAGGACTTTCCTTGCAGCTGTAGCTGTGGGAACAGCAGGCTGCCCTTCAACATGGCAGACATTAGGTGGATGGAACCTGTTTGCCCAACTTCATTCTTGGGATCCCACATATTTCTGTTACCTGAGGTGCTTTTCAGTTAAAATTAAAAACATGCGGTTTGAGAACTGGTAATGTGCTGTATTTTAAGGACACTCTTCCTTCTTCTGCGAAGTCACTTAGGCATTCTCAAAACTATTTCATGTGAAATGTAAAGGAGGAAAGGAAATTGAGGTCCTATTTTAAGTCAACCAACCTTGGAGGAGGGAGCCATTTTTCTTCTTTCTCCAAGTAGCATGCTTGAGTTAAAGCAATACTTTTGTCCATGCACTGCAGGCAGAAAAAAGGAAAAATTAGCAACCTGGATTTCAGGACACTAGTAGGTGGAAGAAGATACTAAGAGAGCCCTCATCAGTGGTTTAATTCCAAATGTAACTGCTAGGAGACAAAACAAATATCACAAGAACATCACAAATAGCACTCATTGTCCATAGAGCTTTGTGCAACAATGGGGACATTTCTGCAAGGCTGCATGTCTAATTTTATACACTTTTGTTTGGTGTGAGTTTACATAGTCATTGGTAGCTTGGGGGTGCCACTTAGATGAAGTTGAGTTCTAATGCAGGGAAACAGTATGAGCAAATCCCCAAGGATTAACCACGAGCTGGACTTGAGAAAACCACCAGTAGGACTACATCAGGGAGAAACTGCTGCACTTCAAATACACACGTAAATGACTACATTTGTGAGTTCTATTTGGGCAAGGTGCTACTGGGCACTGAAATGTTTAGTGTTAACCTAGTTTTTGATAGTTTGCTTATACATTTACTGTCAATAATTCTTTTATTTATTAAAGTTAAAATGTTCTCTATTAAAATAAAGGGCCAGCCAGATAGCTCAGCAGACTAAAGTGCCTGCTTAGGCAGAGCGCAGCAGCTGGGTTTGATCCCCAGTGTGCTATGCTGGCCCCACCCCTGGGGTGAGCTGAGACAGCAATTGAGATTGGGCGTCGTGGCGTGCATCTATAATCCCAGTGCTTGGGAGGCTGAAAACGGGAGAATCATTATGAGTCTGATCCACGTAGTGGGACCCTGTAGATCCTGTACTAAATACATTAAATAAATAAAAATAAAATAAAGCACAAAAACTAGAGTGGATAGGTTACAAGGATTTCCTTTTGTAGCAATGGAAATATTGTGCAGTTAATAATGGTTGTAGAACCTTGTAAATATTCTTGTATACTTTCAAAGAGGTAAATTTTATGGGGGAGGGACAGTATAAAGGAAAGAAAATCATCCCAAATGCCTGGCAGTAAAATTACTTGCCCGAAGAAGGACTGTGTTGTCAGTTATGATGGAGGGACAGCACAAACAGCCTCCTGTTAACTTGTCTCTCCGGAAGTGTACTAAAGGCCTGAGGCCTCACAACATCTGATCTGACTTTGCCTGGCTCTGGCCAGGTAAGATACAGTCCAAACCAGAGCTTAGTTTGAAAAACAGCACTCTGTTGAGTAATTCAATGTAAACTTAGCAAAACTCTTAGTTGTGCAAAATGTAGGAAGAGTTGATGTGTGTGATTCTTTTTGTTCCAAATAAGAAAAATAGAAGCAGGACAAAAGATGGTAAGGATTTTGAAGATGCAAGCTATTCTGTAAGATGTTTTTCCCCCCATAAATGAGGTTTCCAGACAGCACTTTGTTCCCTGAATTGTATTCTCAATCAATACTCAAAATGATTCCCTAAGATAGCCAGCATCATAAGGTGGCCTACAGCTAGAAGCATAGGATCTGAGAGCTGCCCATAGACTTTTAACTTCTATTTTGGTTCTGTGGATAATCTACATAAGCAAAACATGTTAATGTTGTTATCTCATGTACAAAAGCCCCATGTCTCTGTTTGGAACAAAGCAGTTTACCTACTCCAATTAAGAACAATCACCCAAGGGATTTAATATGGACTGGACACACTGGAATATAGAAAAGGTCAGTGTTATACCACAGAACCATGTTCAGACAAAATCCCGAAGCAGACTGAAGGAATTTGAATCTTGTGGGACTCAACACAAGCACATGCGGCTCACCAGGACCATTCTCAGTCCTGCAAATGAGGGCTACTCTGTTGAAAACACCAAACTCACCTGTCACGTGAATATAACACATGGAGTCTGATGTATGCTAGTTTGTTCATCTGGTTTATACTGAATTTATAAACTCACTTTGGTTTTACCTTTGTCTAAGAACTTGACTCACAACTTACTTTTTGTTTGCATCGAAAAAACACCAGGGCAGTGGCAGTCAAGGAGGCAGTGGGATGCTTCTTTTCTATAAAGGGGCCTCTCTTCCCACAGGACCACAGAGCTAAGCTTGAGGGGCTACAAAGCAAGATAAGGCCAACCATGCTGACCAATCACTCTGACAAGATTGCCTTAACTAGGAATCTCAGGTGTTAGCTGTTCTTATTTCTGCTTTTTAATACAATGACCCCAGAAGTTCACCTACTGTGTGCAGTCCTCAGTAGAACCTTATTCTGGGTTATGTGGTTCAGACACTGGAGAATGAAGGATGGCTGAAGAAGCTTTGCAGCCAGTGCCCCTCATAGCTTGGTCTGTAAACTGAACAGCCAAGTGACTGACAAGCACCTGGCTGAGATATCACACAAATGGAAGAAGCCTGGAATTGGATCTTGCTTGGAAAAAGGCACATGATAAGTGGCAGCCATCAGGAACTCAAGAGGCCTGACAGCACTGCCTCAGGCAAGGAATCTAGTGATGGAATGCAACCCTTTTTCATCCTCAGAGGTATACTACAACAGCTGTGGTAGTGCATACCTGTACCCTCAATACTCTGGGAACTGATGCTGGAGGACTGCAATTTTGAACCCACTCTAAGGAACCTAGTCACTCTGGAAGACCTTGTCTCAACAAAAGAAAAAGAAAGAAAAAAGAAAAGAAAAGAAAAGGCTAGGGATGTGGCTGAGTGCAAAAGCACTAGGTTCAATGTCCCCTCCCACCTCCAAGCCACTCAGTACCTCAGGCCCATGGAGGGTTCTTTACCAGGAGGGGGAGCCAGACTCTTGGAGAGGGGCTCTTGGAGGTACTGCTTAAGTCAGGGTAAGAGGCTTTCCCAGATGTAATCAGTAGGGAAACAAAAGATTTAAACGTACTTCCCAAGTTAAGAGTATTACAAGGTATTCCTTCTTTCCTTCTTAATTACAAGAGCATTATGACTTTCCAATGATAGTTAATGGCTGTCTCTGAGATGTACTGGTGCTCCCACAGGCCAGCAGCTATCTGGGAGTGTGAGTTCCACACACATATTCCCCAGTTGCATACATCAGAGTTGTGCAAACAGCGAGCAGGTGAGTTGTTTACATGGCTGACTACTGCTCAAAGAGAAGTACATTTAAATACAGTGTGGTACTGTGGAACTGGCCCCACTGGAGGAAGTGCCCATGGTCTGTTTGTATATCACCCTCCAAACCAAGTGAAGGCAGGGAGGAAGGGGCCAGAAGCAGCACAATAGGCCCATGTCATGAATGTGGTGACCAACAACTGCCATCATACCCTATCTCTTGGGGGAAAATGACATGAAAAAACTTCTGAGCTGTGGGGAAGTTCACCCCAGTAAAGGAACGCTTACCTGACTTATGATTTCCTGAAGCAATTTTACATCTTTTTCTCGATACCCAGTGCTGTCTTCCAGTTGTAGATGAAATGCTGGTGAAAAGGACTCCCCCACCACTTTCAATCCTGAAATGCTGAGGAAAGAATCACACACACACATGAACTCTTTCCAGGCTCAAACCTCTCACACAGCAATGATTCCGAAAATCTGTACCGTCAAGGCCCATGAAAAGGAGCATAACTGGTGACTGGTGTGAGCACCACATGGTAGAGTTTCAATTTGGCTAGAGAGAGAAAAAGAGGTAAACTGCATCCTCTATATAGTGTTTCCCAGGCCAAGAAAATGGGAGGAAGGTTCCCTGTTCCTGGGAGGACACTGTGACCTCCTGCCTCCCACTGTGAGTCTGCACACTCACTTCCTGGCCTGCCTGTGTATGTCCTCACACATCTTCCCCAGGTCTCGCTGGACCTGGCCCTTGGTCTCACCATTTCCTAGCTGATTTGCTCAGTGATGCTGCTGACTCCAGCTAGAGCTGTTCATGCATATCATTACTTCAGGCAAGAGTCTGCTCTCTCAATTTTTATTATTTATCCCACTTAATTTCTTCGTGGACTACATATTACAACTTAGAACATTATGCCTCCTTGCACTACTGGGAAGTATGGATTCTTAGGAGTGTAGAGTTGTGGAAGGTCGAAGGTCACTGGGGCATACCTCAGAAGAGGACTATGCACCTCAGCTGCTTCCTCTCCCTCCATTTCTGGACTCATGAGGGGTGCCTCTGCTTTGCCATATACTCCCACCTTGCCAAATTCTGAAGAATGAAGCCACTTGATCAAAGACCAAAAACTCCAAAATCAGGAGCCAAATTGCCTTTTCTCTTTATCAGTTAACTGCCTTCTTCATGAAGGCTTACAATGCAGCTGTGTGTCAGAATTAATCTTATGGTTTTCAAAGCACTGTTGAACGTGAAAAATTTATCCTTTTTTAAGTGTAATACATCATGCCAGGAATTCTCAATAAATCAGACTTCAGGGGGCCTGCTAGTTACCTCAGTTGTTTAAGCACCTGTCGGAAAACCCAGTCAGGCTTGCGGGACAGTGGTTTGCTTCCCAGCTCCACATGCCACACCACACCGCCAAGGCAGCATGGGCCCACCAAAAAAAAAAAAAAAATCCCTTTCAACTTTTCAAGCAGGCACAGGGGCAGGGTGTGTGTGTGTGTGTGTGTGTGTGTGTGTGTGTGTGTGTGTGTTTTGATCCCTGGGCCTGCCATGCTGGCCCCATCCCCGGGGTATGCTGAGACAGCAATTGAGACTGGGCATGGTGGTGCCCATCTGTAATCCCAACACTTGGGAGGCTGTAAACAAGAGAATCACTAGGAGTGTGATCTAATAGCAAGACCCTGAACACCTGTAGATCCTTCCCTAAAATACAGGGAAAATAAATAAATAAATCAGATTGCAGATCTGAGACACAGAGCACTCTTCAAAACAAAAAAAAAAATTTTCCCTGCCCTTACTTGGTTGCTGACTCCGCATGCCTGGGGGGCGGGACCAGCAAGGCATGTGCTGCTGGAGATCCATCCCCAGTTCCTGCGCTTGCCTAAGCAGGCCTTAGTCTGCTGAACTATCTCACCAATCAGGTCTAAGTCAGAATCTTAGCATCAAGGGAATTTGGGATGAGGAGGAATCTACTAGATTGGATATGACACACTTATAGCACATGTTTTCCTTTAAGACAAATGCTGTAATGAAAAAGTTGTTTTTTCTAAGCTCAACACTTAGTATTCAGGTTTACTGCAGAATTGGCACTCTGTGATAAGTAAGTAGTTTTGGGTTGCAGTCTAGGCACTTATTTCTAAAAGGTTCATTTTCAGTTTTTTTTTTTTTTATTTTATTTTACGGCAGGGTCTACCGGGTGTTCAGGGTCTCACTACTACATCGGACTCTAGTGATTCTCCTGTTTACAGCCTCCCAAGTGCTGGGATTACAGGTGTGTGCCACTACGCCCAGTCTCAATTGCTGTCTCAGTGCAGCCCGGGGATGGCGCCAGCAATGGCAGGCCTGGGGATCCAACCCCCGGCCCCTGCAGCTGCTTGCAGGCGCTTTAATCTGCTGAGCTATTTGGCTGGCCCCACAGTTTTAGGTATAGAAATTATACAGTCTGTTTTCAAAACCCATCTGCTGTATGAATTTTTAATTATCAGTTTTCTTAGGTCCTGTTTTCTCACAACAAAGCTTAAAAAAATGCTTTTCAAATAGATCAAATGATCTGGCTTCTCCCGTGTACACAGGGAACACCGTAAGCCCTAATCTAACTTGCATTTTAATTAGATGGGCTCAGTTTATGGTACGCAGGGCAGGCAGGTGGAAGAAGGAATGAAACAGAGTACTCTGTCCCTGCTGCTGGATGCTAAAAGTCACATGAATTTAACTAAAACCAACTGGACACAGAACTGTAGTTCAGTTCAGAAACAGAAAAGTTGTGTTTCAGAGCCTATTATGTATTCTTTGACAAGTTGGCAAGCTTATCATTTTACTCAAGCAAAGCAACTGTATGTGTAGGGTCCAGGGCAGCAGGATACCAGCCAGCATTCTGTGACAAGGTGGGGACTTCCAGGTTCTGACACCCAGACAAAACAGCACAGGCTGTCAATGTTCCCAAACTCTGTGTCGGTGATGGACAAGTACATCTCCGACTACAGAAATTAAAAGAAAACTACTTGAATCTGAACACTCAAAGCAGTACTTCTGAAAATATTTAGTTGTATTTATGGCAAAGTACATAATAAAAGCAGTAAGCTAAATATAAGAGGAAAAACAATGAAACAAGAGCACATAAAAATACACACACTTCACAATATAACTAAAATTAATATATTTACATGTATATAAAATATATATAAAATATAAAAATACGTACACATACATCACAAAACAAAAACTGAAAGTGCTAAGAAAAATCCTGAAAAGGTTATCCTGAAAATGGAAACCACAGAATACAAAAGAAAATAAAAAGGGGAAGCAAAAACATGAGAGAGTCAGAAACTACTCCCAACTCCAGGCACCTCAAGCCTAGACGTCCTTAAAGGGTGAAGGCCACCTAACTCTGAAGAAACCAATGATCAGGCCATGCCCTACTCAATGGCTCCCTGAAGCAGAAAGAGTAGAAAATAAACTGGGCATAGTGGCAAATATCTATCATCCCAGTACTTTAGGAGGCTGAGGTAGGAGGATTTCAATTTCCAGCCTAGTCCGGTTATTGCAAAAGAGTAAGTCCCTGTTGGAAGAAAAAAGAAAGGAAAAAGAAAGAAAGAAAAAGGCAGACTCAGGGCAAAGGCCCTGGGTTTAACCTCCAGTACTGTTTAAAAAAAAGGGGGGGGGGCGCAAAATGGTCAAATCATGTATTAAGTTACCATAGTCTATTTAAATTACAAATAAAGATGTCAAAATTCAAATTTATTTTATTTTTTTGTGATATTAGGGATCAAACTCAGGGGATTGAACTTGGGACCTTGTGCTTGCCAGGCAGGTGCTTAAGCCACTAAGATATCTCCTGGCCTTACAAATTTAAAAATCAGCTAACTGTAGAAAAATATACTGTAGGGGCTGTCTCAGGAATATTCTGATAATTTAGCATTGGTAATAAATCCATATAATTTAGGCCTGGGGCGAATCTATTATCTTAGTAAATATGGAAAATATCTGATACAGTTCAAAATCTATTTCTGATTAAAAGTAAAAAGCTTCCAAACCTTGAAGTAATTTGATAAAGGAGATTGACCAAAAACACGTAGTATGTTTTATACATAATGAAGAAATGCTCCTATGCTGAGGGAAGAGTGTCTGCTATTATGCTTACTACTCAATACTGTGATAACAATGCCACACAAAAGCAATTAAAGACAAAAAAATACACACATGAATGAACTGGGAAGGAAAAGACAGAAAACCATTGCTGCTGATGATAGAACTTCTCTGTACATCATTATAAATGAATAGAACAATTAGTGGAACTAAAAAGAGTTGGATATAAGATCAGTGTAAAGAAAATATTTTTATAAGTCACCAAAATCAAATATAAAATATAAAACATAACCCTATTTGCAATGGCAACTAAACTGATAGGACATCAAGAAATTCTCTCCAAAGGCTCCATAAAGGCACAGGGGAAATAAAATATTTAAATTCTACTAAAGAACTCAATGGTGGAGCTGTGATATAGCTCAGCCTGGAGAGTGGCTATTATGCATGAGTCCCTGGATTCGATTCAGAGCACTTCCAAGCCAACTAACCAACCAACCCAGCAACTAACCACAGAAGAAATTACAATACAGATCATGTTCATGGGTGATAATTTCCTCCAAACTAATATATTAATCAGAGAATGTACTGCAATCACAATTAAAATGCTAGTAACAATTTTGAAAGAACCTATATTTTAAAACCAACAGACATAAAAAAGCAAATGTAGTAACAAAATCTCAGAGAATTGCACAAATAATGTAAACACTGATGATGTGGAAGAGATGGTTCAAAAACAGGCCCCTGTACAAATGAGAAAGTAGCACATGATGAAGACAGCCTGCCCCGGCAGAAGAGAGGATGTGGCTTATGTACGTTATTTGAAAACTGACCTCACACTTTTCTTGACCTCAATTTCTTCCTCTAGCCTCCACCCCACTTCTGTAAGAGTTATTTAAGCTTGCCCAATTCTGCTCTTCACAGGCTCTCTCAAACCCAGTTCAGCCAGGCACCTCGCACTCCTGATCCCCTGCCAAGTGTCCAAGTCATAATTAGCTCCACATTTGGAATAAGGACATTCAGTTACCATGCCTGGCCCACAGGGACACAGCGCACATCACATGCTGACCTATGCAACCACCTTTTTTTTTTTTTTTTTTGTGGAACTGGGGATTGAACTCAGGCCCTTGTGCTCACCAAGCAAGCACTTATTCTACTGAGCTATCTCCCCAGCCCCAGCAACTGCCTTCTTCACCTGCATCCAAGCTTCATATCAAATGCTTTGAATACAATCTATGGGCTAGTAATTCAGTGCTCAGACTTTTTTCCAACTTAACACCTGTGCACCCTGCAGCTGCAATGCCCTGGATGCCTAATGAGCACCACCA